CTAACTGATGAGGAATTACGACAAACTCTCCACCCTTATCACTAACGGAAAGTCTTATGGTTTTCAACCTTATCAGGTCTAGTACCTCTCGCATACCACGTTTTTGCACTGGAGTGAGGTTGGAGCTGTATCTTTTCGCGCGATAGTGATTAAGGACTTTGAGAGTTTCGTTGGCAAACATCCGAAATTTAACATCAACTTCATTATTGGGCTCTTGCTGTCTAAAGAACGTTGGGGGAAATGGTGCTATTGGTAGGGCCCCCACTTGATGTTGTTCGCACCTATTTAGCGCTTCATCTCTAGCTTTTTTGCGGAGTCTATCTTGAAGTTCATGTAAACCACATGCGACCCTACGCAAGGTTATCTTAGAAATGGGTTCAGATGGTGAGAAACTCGGCCCCAATTCTAATAACGAGCGCGCACCGTTAGGGAGAGTTATGCCTCCTAACATGGTTAGCCTTGAATTTTCTTGCACATTACCTATCCTAACGTGATCTGTTTGATGTTCTTTAGCGATATTTTTGTGCGCTATTGAAGCTGTATTATGTGTCTCGTTTATGACTATTATTATGTCTCTACGTGACATACTTAGTGGAAACCTCATAGAAAGCGGTGAGTGTGCAAAGCTGTGTTCAAAGTGATTGAAATCTTGGTTTGGGGTTTCTTTGTTTAGTTATGGAGGCGTCTGGCCGAGTGAATTGCTATCAACTTGACCTTTCCAGGCTCTGAAGAAGGCGAAATTCGCCGAAACGTCAGCTTAATCGTGAACAAAGAATAGTAACACCTCGCGTTTGCTCAACAAAAATACGAAGAAAATCACTTGATCAATGCCGAGGTTAATAGAAAGTCGGTCGTGGCAGTTACAGTCGACAAGATTAGAAAGCCTTTTAAGGAATTCACTATCGGGACCTCGGAAATATCCTTGAAAAGAGAGAGGTCGAAATTTTATTTCATCCTGACTGTCGTCGACTTTTATTTCATCCTGACTGTCATCGACGAAGACATACTAAACCAACTTCCTACTACGCTACCTGAATTTGCAACAAAGCATAACCTTGCTAGTATTCTAGAAATTTCGCTTCTTGGCTTATTTGCAACGAATTTTAATTTTTCTGTCCGCCACGAAGGAGAACGTCAATGGTAAGATGTTTTAATCGATTTATAAAGACATACCTGATTGTTTTCCAGATTGTAGCCGACCCAATGCAGCACATATTCGGACGGATCTAACCAATAGACACGCCTCGTTTCAACATCGATAGCCACCGCTGTCGGATTAAATGACGACACACCGACAAGCACCTGAAACAGTTTCGAATTTAAACGTCATTATTCTTTCAACGGTTTACCGCCTCATCGTTGCTGGGAGGTTTTCATGGGTCCACCATGACCTCCCAAGCTGAGTAGTCCGGCGTTTCCATGGGGAAGATCAGCTAAGAGAAAACCAATACCAGAAGTCGCTACCGTCCTGGTATCAAATTGCTCGCATGGTAGCAAATTTCCCTCTGACCCAAAAGGACGGCTACTGTCTGGGTTGGTGATGTGTTGAGGAATGTTTCTTCGGGACTCCAGCGAACCACGATCGCCAAACCAGCAAACCTCTGGAGAATGGAAATCATGCGAAGCCTGGATAACCAGTGACGATGGGCCGTCCAAGTACCAAAGTAAGTACGTCCGCACTTTACTTCCTGTATTGTGCGTAATCTCGTTGATCGTTAAGTCGTTAAGTACTTGGTAAAAGATAGTAAAAATTTCCCCGTTCATCGTTATCGTGCGTCAAAGATAGCACACTTTGCTGGCTTAATAAACTCGAACGCTGCTATACATTTTAGGATCAGGGATTCTAGATTATTTTTACTCGTTTATAGACAAAAGGTAGAAAAAGGAGGCTCAAAGGTCAGGGAATAGCTTCATTGTCATCTAGACTTTAACGACAAACAACTCCGCTGATAAACTGAAAACACCCTGCCATGGTTCTCTAGGAACCCCACTGATGTACACCTCGGTCAACCAAAAAAAAAGAACTACATGGTGGAAATTGTGTTGGAGACCACACAAAACATAGACCATCCAAATTTGTGAGGAACTTTCGAAACAGATGTACTAAACTTAAAGACTTACTGTCGGTTGTGTTCCGTCTAAATTTGTTCGTATTATGCTATAATACCAAAACTGAGTTGTAGTCGAGTAGAATAAGTAGCTGAAAAGTGTCAGATGTATCGTCGTATGTGAAAATCCACATCATAACCAATATGGATGAAACACTTCACGTAATGCAACTATGCAGTTTTCGCAATAAAAAGAGAAACTGAGCTAAGAATCAGCTGACGATATGGTCTTTTAGGAGAGAATCCATGAAACCTCTAACCCTGCCATGGAATCGACATTTATGGAAAACACTCCACCAATTGCTTTCACGACTTGTGCTCTTCTATTAGGATTTTTCGGATGAAACACGGTTATTCCAGCAGTAGCCACTAAAAAACGGTTACTAAATACAGTAGTATCACAAGAACGAGGCAAAATGTAGTATTTATGATAAGTTGAAGCTTTAAATCTTCTACCACTTGGTCGAGTTCCGTAGTAAATATTCCCCGACAATGAGTCCACTGCCATACATGTAAGAAGAGGAATTCCTTAAAAAACACTGATAAATATGAAAAAAAATCTTTTTTTCTCACCTGCTACCTTCTGAAAAGAGTTGATAGTGGGCACGATCAAGACCACTGACTAGCCCACGACGATTGCAGCACCGGTCAATATTATTTCGCCCCACTATTTCTGGCGCCATAGAACTTCTTATTCTTTTTCACATGACCCCTAGTCACACCTATTGTGCCAATCCAAGCACTTATTTCATTCGATTTGTTTCTCTCGCACTCATCGTTCATAAAGGTCTTTGAACAGTTCGTGTGTTGTTTCGGGTGCTACTTGAGGATTTCGTCTTCTTTATAAATGTCGGAAAATGCTAGTCGAGTCGATTCTTCATGCAATCTTGAGGATAACCGGACGAAGGTGCTCCCACATTAATTGGAAGAAAGCGTTGGGAAGGAGATCGAACCAGCACCTCCCTTTCTGATGGACTGCAACACTAACAATGGCGCTACCTACTGCCGTCGCCATAGAATAAAAAATTTTAACAAAAACATGCCAACCGTTTTCAGCGACAACGGTGGCCTCTCCTCCGGCAATGGGTCGCTTAATGATCGTTTTCTTGGCATCATCATAAAAGTATATGTCAGCATTTGAAGGATCGATGGTGAACACCGTACCGGCCTTTGGTGAGAGTATCGATGGTATCGACGAGATTACCTTAATATAATAGAAAATTGTATATGAAGTCAAGTAGAAATTCTGGATTAGAATTACAAAAAAAAAGAAAAAAAAAGCAGCACCTTGGTGCTCAGTTTTCGCATTAACCCAGAGTCGAACACACTAGCGCATAAGAGACGGTGTATATTCTATACAATCATAGGCACACCAAGTGACTGATGTTATCTATATATGGATCACTCTCTTTCTAAAGAATAGCTTCTTCTAGAATCATCTCATGCTCATAATTCCTCAACTATTCTAGATATTGAAAAGATATCGTTTATTGTCAAAAACTAGCAAGTGTTGAGAATTTGGCAGCTCCGACAGTCTGTAAAAGCTGAGAATTTGGCCGTCGTAAGAGTAACATGGAGGTCAAAAGGCAAGCGGACGTTAAAGGTACAAAGCTAAAGCTCTCCGCGTTGATCAATCCCTGGGGGACGCGCCATGCAATCGACTTCATTAAGTACCGTTGGGGGTGACTGAATGCATATCTGGCCTTTACAATGACACGCATTGGCCAACCGATGTATCGAGCCAGCGCTGCTATCCTCCCAGACAAGTCCGATACCAATTTGCCGACCCCGGAGGGATGGAAAGCTTGGTGGGCCATGGACGCGGGGATCGATTCCACGTGCGTGTCGCAGCGGTGCCTCCAACCACTACGCCACACGAGCCCTTAAACGAGCGTTAGTCATTAAAATCAATAATAAAGTCACTACAAGAACATATAGAAGTTTTACAAACTGGAAAAGAAGAAGAAGAAATTGCGCCATGTTTTGACCATGTTGTGAAAAAACCACTACTATTGGCTGGTCTTCGTTTCACTCCGACGCGCCAATGTATCCACATAAATCCTAGAGGCTGCGTTAATTCAAGTCTGTGCCACTGACTTTATTCAAGTAATCTCTCGTTCATGAACAATTCAATACCTCCGACTCACTATCATGACCATCTGAACGCTAGAACTAACACCACAACTTCTCGTTACTACAGAAACCTCCAAACCATACCAGTATCCCCACTGTCCTGGTATCAAAGTAGCATGGTGGCAAATCTCTCTCTGATCCACAAGGGCTGCAACTGCCTGTGGTGGTGAAGACCTAGAGCAGACTTTGGCCAGGTTGACCTCGGGATCCCAGGGAACCACAATGCATTAGCTAGCAAATCTCCGAAAAATGGAGACTATGCTGGGACCCGCACAACGAGAGAGGACGGGCCGTTCAAGTATCAAGTATGGAAACTTCTGCCTTTAACTTTCTCATCTCTTTTCACCTTCAATTTGAACAGTTTGCACTGTGGACTTGTCCTGTTGTCCTCACTGAAGGTAAGCAAACTGAAAGCTAACGACATAATTTTGATGTACAACAAACCTTTGTACCATTCAGTTGCACTCCATGAATCCATTTCGGCGACAGGCGGGAATATAGTAATAGAGAATCAAACGAATGACTCGCAGAGCACTTTCCATTTTTAAACTCTAGTCCATCCTGAACAGCTTCCTTTTATAAAGAAAGGTCAATCTATTGATTCTTTATGAGAAGAGAGAACAAATTTTAACAGGAAGTCCTAAGCGAACAATCGACACCAAGAACATCGATGAGTTGTGTTACATAACTAGAAAATGATACAACGAACCACTGATCTAGTAAGTCTAGTTCAAAACTTGAAAACAAAACCATGGTTTTTTGATATAGAAGGTCTTTCTCAGAATTTCTATCAGGAATTTCAACTCGGGGCTAAAAATGACCATCGATTGCTGGGCCGGAAAATTAGCTGCAGAGGATCAAAACAAGACTATAAGTCGTATCTAGGCTTCGATGAACACAACGCCTTCTTGAATAAACCAAATTTTGGAGAACGGTGAAATACATCAGCCTGTACAAAGATATATCACATTCTTATGAATGGTAAATAGCTTATATCTGACCTGCTTCCTTTCTACACTAATACTTGACAACTGGAAAAGAATATTGTACACCAGGAAACAGACAAATATTGAATGATGAACACATCTCAGAAGACATCCGCCTCCTCTATGACCATCTACCAACAAATACACAACAGACGATAACGAGCTGCTTGGCAAAGGTTCTTACGAGATAATCGTCGCAGTGGTTGGAGGCGCCACTGCGACACGCACGTGGAATCGATCCCCGCGTCCATGGCCCACCAAGCTTTCCATCCCTCCGGGGTCGGCAAGTTGGTACCGGACTTGTCTGGGAGGATAGCAGCACTAGCTCGATACATCGGTAAGCAAACTCGAGCGATTGTAAATGCCAGATATGCATTCAACCACCTCTAACGATACTCAATGAAGTCGAATGCATGGCGCATCGCTTAGGGATTGATCAACGCCGAGAGCTTCATCCTTTAGCTTTAATCGGCTTTAACGTGCCTCACGTCCCGAATCAAGAATTTTGCACTGCATCTTCGCCAATACCAAGGGATGTGGGCTGTCGAAAAGAAAAGAATCCTGATCGTCGACTTTATTGTTATATGTTTCACGTGCAAACATGAAAACTGAGAGTTCGCAAGTCACCAAGAGACGTCTGCCTCCAGAAACACGAGCTCATACGCAAGCCTGGAATCGCACGAGCTGCAGGTAACCGCCAACTAACCTCCGAACGTGCAAAATTATGCAGACAGGCGATAAAAGAAGATCTTAAAGAGTAAAGAGCAGCAGTAATAGTCGAAGCTGCAGAGGCTGGGAAAAGCATTCGCAAAGCCCCCCGAAGCTTCGCCAATTACAGGACCAAGATCATTGCATTCCGACACCCAGACGGAACAGTGACAGCGTCCAGAAAGGCAATGGGGAAAATCAATCACGAATATCACTCAGATCTCTTCAATAGCTACGTCCACCCTCCATTATATGAAATAAAGGAGGATCTTCTCCTCGAAGAGAATTTAGTACGGTGGACCACATCCACACGGTAACATGGCTCATTGAAGTACCGCGAGAGTACAAAAGACCGCTCTGTCTCACTTCCATCGATTTACAAAAGCCTTTTGATTCAATTGAGATAGAAGCAGTCATGGAAACCCTTGATAGTCAAGAAGTCCCTACTCAGCACATAAAGATTCTTCGTGAGCTGTACAAAAATTTCACAACCAAGATATCACCATTCTACAACGATATTAACATCGACGTCAAAAGAGGAGTTAGGCAAGGCGATACCACCTCCCTAAAATTATTTACCGCCACGCTCCAGAACGTCATGCGAACAATGGAATGGGATAATATGGGAGTGAAAATCGACGGTCGGCAGTTACACTATCTTCACTTTGCTGATGACATCGTCCTTATAACACCAAACATTAGCCAAGCGGAACATATGCTTGACGACTTTGATAAAGCCTGTGGAAAAATTGATCTTCGACTAAATCTCGTAAAAACGATGATCATGAAGAACGGATTGGTTTCATATGCTTCATTCACGCTCAACGGAACGAATATCTCCGGCTGCTCCAGTTATGTCTATCTAGGTCGGGAAACCAATATGATGAACGACTTAGCTCCAAGGCTGAGCAGAAGGAAACCAGCAACCTGGGGAGCTTTCAAGAGCATCGAGTATGTAGTAAAGAGAACAAAGAACACCCGACTCCGTGCCCACCTTTTTGACTCAACTGTACTTCCTGCTCTCACGTATGCGTCTGAAACCTGGTCCCTGCGTAAGCAGGATGAAAGATCACTCAGCGTTATCGAACGCGCAGTCGAAGGGTCGATGCTAGGAGTGTCTCGTTTCACACAAGGGATGGGATCCGAAGCTCCGACCTGCGTCAACGATCAAAAATCAAAGATGCCGTTCTGTAAGCCAAACAGTCGAACATAAGGTGGACCAGACACGTAATGCGTATGGTTGACAACCGATGGACAAGAGCCGTGCGTGACTGGATTCCTCGGGATGTCAAATGTACTGCATGAAGACCACCGACCCGATGATCAAAGTTTTTTACGAAGAGTCTAGAAGAAAGATATGATGCTCGACGCGTTCCTATAGCGAGCAGAACCCACTGGGCTACTCTTGCACGCGACAGTGAAAAATGGAATATTTACTGCGCCCGCTCGAGTCACTCGACGATCGACGGAACTACAGGTGATACAGGTGATGTTTCACATGAAAGATGTCATCACCAGATGAATAAGGTGTTCACAGAAAGGCTTACATTAAAATGGAATGGCTTTGGAAACAGCTCAGAAAAGAACCAGTCCGAATAGTTGTAGTTTGGAATCACTGCGACTAGAACGATTTCCAAACATTTAGGACTTGACCTAATTGAGCTGAAACATTAACCAGATCAAAAAATTTTCGAAGTACACACGAAATAATAGAGTGGTTTCTTCCGAAATTCAATTGGCGTATTTGACATAGAGTCGTACACTGGAAGTCCTTAAAAGTACTTTCGCCTCGATGTTCAGTGAAACATACACCTAAAGCGTAACCTAGGCATGGGTAGGGCAGTAGTAAAGATATTATTCAATAATAAGCGCAAGGCTTCGGTTTTGCCCATTCATGAACCAACCAATCCTCCATTTCCTCTGATCCATAAAGGCTGACGACTGCATGTGGTGAAGACATGGAAATGCTGTAATAGAGCTTCCCAAGGGTTCCAAGAAGAATCAACTCGACCAGCAATCAACCACATTTATAAAGAAGAAATCACCATCTACCAGCTGCAATCGCAAGCAGATCCGATGGCCTTGTGGGATAATGGGTACGAAGAAAACGAATTTATTGCGAGAAATGCTACGACCCACTCAATATAAATAGGATGACGTACTATCAATGGGCACTTACATGGCACGCACCGTTGACGATGAACAAACAATAAGAAATGGTCGAATAAATCCTGAATGGTAACCAGAGCACTCAATTGAAACAGCCATCAGGATGATGTAAATATGATGTGTATGTGACTCATGTTGTCTATCCGTAGTAATAAATTTGATATCAATAGATTATCGAGCTTAAGATGTTGTTATGTATAGAATCACCTTCTATGACTGTAAGGAAACCGTGCTATGTTGCGCGTGTCAGCCAGTAGGAGACAAACAACTATTCAAGCGTATAGCGTAAAAAGATATTGAAAATAATGAAAATGATTAACACAGGATAGAATTTACAGAATATTTTATCAATGGTTTTGTTTGAGACCTTCGATGGGTATTGATGTGAGTAGGATGACGAAAGGAATACGACAAAAGGTTTCGATAGGTACTGATATGAATAAGATATCGAAAAGAATACGGTAAAACGTTTAGCGTTAAACAATCCATCATTGAAACTCACTTCACAGAGACACAACGCTGATGAATTCTTTCCAGTCACGCAAATATCTGGGCATCCACCGTTTTTTGATGAACACTCAACATTAGCTAAAACAAAATCAACTATGAGGGTAAAATCGACGACTGAACTATATAAAAGCTCTCGGCGTTGATCAAACCCTGAGGGATGCCTCATACATTTGATTTCACTAAGCATCGTTGGAGGTGATTGAATGCATACCTGGCCTTTACAATGACTCGCGGTGGCCTGCCGATATCGAGCCAGTGCTGCTATCCTCCCAGACAAGTTTGATACCGATTTGCCGACCCCCGAGGGATGGAAGGGGGGCATGGTGGGCCACGGGCGTGGGAATCGATTCCACGTGTGTGCTGCAGGGTGCCTCCGACCACTGCGCCACATGCTATTGAATTACATAAGATGTTAACTGAGGAAAAAAAGGCTGAAAATAGCTCAAAAGACGGAAATCCACATTGAATGGCCCTTGAAAGTTCACTACGGTAGCAAGGCTACAGTATGACCTGTAAACATCTCGCTTATTTCCACTACTGTGAGCGAAGAGAAAACATTTTATCATGCAACTCATCTCAAAGTACTGCGCGGCACCCAGCAATTCCCTTTCATTCGATTCGTCTTCTTGTATAAATCATCCGCGAAGACATTCGGGCTTGCATGTGTGGATTCGGCTGTATCTCAAGTACGTTCACCTACTTGTGAGAGTTGTTGAGTGGTACTTTGCTTGATCACTCTTTGAATCCTGGGATAACTCTATTATAGCGTACTCGGGTACCCACCATAGACAGTCGCCATCCTCTGGGACCGGTGAAACCTTTCCCCAGTGAAGCTTCTTACCAATCTGCCGCCGATGGATGGAGGGCTTGATCCACCTAGTTGAAATGCTTGAACAAAAAAAGGCATAGTTCGATCAAGTCGCTGTCGATCATCCTGCCAAGAAGGTCGACCGAAGAGATCTTTGTAGCTGTCATCCGATATTCCTGTTGAGTCCGCTGTATAAGCTGTCCACGAGGATTAACTTACTGTGCTCTCGAGGACACTGGATGAGGCACAGCCAGTTCACTATGTAAGATCACAACAGGGACATTCCGCTCTGTTGTGCAGAGAAACGTGTGCTGATCCCTTCACATCAAATGGAAGAAAACAACGGAGTAGAATGGACTCCAGGCGGATCGAAGCTGCTGTGGAAAGAAATTCTACAAAATGACGGACGTGTTTGCAACTAGAATCAATCAGCTGTGAGCCCAGCCGGAAACATTTTACAGGTCACGCATGATACTGGCATAAGACACTGTACTCGGAATAAACAGCAACCATAGACGATGATCATGAAGCAAATCAACGAAATGAAAATGCGCTGGATTCCACAGTAGTCATAAAGGTTGACCATTCAAGTATCTAACCGGGTAAGTGTATATGTTTGTACACGCAACAAAAAAAATGGGGCTTTCTGTCGTCACCATTGGCTAACGTCTTTGAGAACTTCCTAACTTTCGTAAGTGTCGAGAGAAGAACGCGGCGGGCTTTTGGCGTCAAAGAGCTACGAGAAGGGCGCAGTGTTGGCTATTCGACCAATGACAAAAAACCAGTTTGATCATCCTACGTCCATTTCCATGGCATATGGGTCAAGTCCGTTGGTTTTCACCAAAAGAAATCCTAAAATACTACAAAGCACTTAATTTAGTCATAAGAAGATTTCCCACGCATTCACGTTCAAATCCTGAATTATTTCTTTGCAAAGCAAACAAAAAGAAATCTTAAAGTAGGGCTGCCATCAGGGAATCCAACATTTGAGCGCGTATCAATTTTACGAACCTTGAAGGATAGCGGCCTTAGTTATCTCTGTGTGTGAAATCGAACAAAATAATGCATTTGTATTGCCGAGCACTCTTAACCCCTGAGCTAAATGCACTCGTGCTAAAGTTCTCAAGTTCTCAACTATACGTCTTAAGAAACAATTAAACTTTTTTGAAGAGAGCGGAGTTCTACTCTACCTGAGCTCCTAGGTGCAGACAGATTGTGATTGACAAAGAATCCCGATATTGGCGCGTGAAAATTAACGACTTCCGTTTTTGAGGTAATCGTGTCAACCCGTAGAAGTTCAGAACGGCTCGGTACGTAGAGATAATCAGTGAAGAATGCTAATGATGTTGAATATTTCAGCTAAACCAGGAATTATTTAGACTTTCAAAACATCTAAAATAGAAGTCAAAGCTTTTCTGAAATTTCACTAACAGCTAGGTGCTATCGAAAACAGACAAGAAGAAAATGATAAAAACATGAATTCCCCAAACCCTCGAATGTTGAATAGATCTGTGAAAATCTGGTAAGAGATTTGAAATGAACAAGATCTATAGATACTAATTATAAAAGGACAAAACGTTGTCGTTGATTTATCCTTCAGCGGAGGATCGAACCAAAGACCACATGCTTATTAAATCGCACATCTAATCGCTACCTTGTACGCCTATAGATGACTTACAGGACTAAAAATACTATAGGACACTAAAAACTTTGGTAGTTTTAATTAAGATATCTAGACGACGCCTAAGCAAAAAAGGAACTTCTAAGTGTAAAGATGAAAATAAAGAAGACAGTCATGAGAACCGCAGTTTCCTACAACGCTGAGCTCCACCAACCCTTCTATCATGAATGACACTTCGTGTAGTCCACGTGTTACCGTAATCTATAGCAAAAATTCGTTCGAAATATCTGTCACTGTAATACAATGTCTTCGAGAACGGATCCACAGCTAGACCTGTAAAGAAGAAAAAAAAGCACTTTAAAATATTCTGGATCAAATGTTTATACAAACAGGTTTTAATATTCTCTTTGAATTATCTGTGGAATACAATCACGATGATGCTGAGATTTTTGAAGAACTCAGAGCCTAGGACAGATTTGAACCTTCGGCTTTCCAGAGGTTCACGTGCTATCAACTGCACCATTAAAGCCTTGCTTTGCCGTCCTGTCAGCCTTGTTTTAACTTTATCGATGCTACCAACAATCACCCGTCAAATAGAATTATCTGGGGAGCACAAATCGGCAATGAACCCAGTTAAGCACAAGCTACAGTCGAAATCACAGTGGGCAAACGTGGTTTCGAATCCGGCCTGGAATCTGGATTTTGCAAACACTCAACATCACAATTTTAGCTCATTATTTACTGCCTACTTTTTTAATGGCAGAGAATGTTGCGGAATATAACTTCAATGATGCTGAGATATTTGCAAAACTCCGAACCGCAGGTGTCTCCGGTGAGGAACGAACGCGCTATTGTCCTTTGCGGGGGCTAACGCGTTCACTATCACACCATGCGGGTCCATCGTGTCCATCGTTGTTGAATCACCCAGTAACGAAAAGAGTAGGAAGTAAATAATAAGTTAAAACTACTCCCTCAGCTTAACTGGGTCCATCGCCGATTTGGGTTCACTAGATCAATCCCGCTGACGGGTGATTGCTGATGGCAGTGATCGAAAGAACTAGCTGAGAGACAAACGGAACGAACGACCCGTATGGTGTGGTGGTGAACGCGTTAGCCCTGGAAAGGGTAATAGCGCATTCGTTCCCCGCCGCAGACACCTGCGGTCCGGAGTTTTGCAAATATTTCAGCATCATTGAAGTTATCTCATCATCATTGTGACTAAATTTCACATAATGTCCTGTCATGAAAAGATAATAGGCAGTAAATAAAAAGTAATATATTGTGATATCTGTGAGATGTTTTCAAAGCGTTAAAGAAGTCAACTACCAAACCTGCTGGCATTTGAAGTACTCGTTTTGACATGCTGAGCTTAGTGCGATTCTCATAACTGACACGCCATACGCCAGCATTTCGTCCCGTTGTAGAATAGAAAATCAATCTAAGAACATGAATTTTAAAAAAGATCTGCAGAATCCTAGTTTGCCGTAGGTTAAAAAAGATAGCAAGAGGTTTCCAATGATGCAATCCTTTGCGGCATCACAGACATCCATCAAAATCTATACTGCGTTTACTTTCCACTATTATTATTATTAGTATTTTGCCTCATATGACTCTTCTTCACACGTAGTAAGCGGATCCCAGCATTTGCGTTCCTCATCCTTGTACCCATCATCCACGAACTCCTCACCTTTTCTTTTGCAGGTGCGTTTCATTGCCGCTTGAGAATTTTGCTTTCGTTACGAATGCCGCTGAACGTTGGTGGAGTTGATTCTTCCTAGAATCCTGACGTAGCTGGGCACAAGCGTTCCCATCCAGACATCAGAGAGTGAGCTTTTCCCAAGCAAAACCATTATCAGTTTCACGACCACAGAGGGAACAGAGGCTTGATGAGTCGTCCCACTAGTACCGTTCTCGTGATGATCACATCCATTACCACTGAGCTACACGCCCCTTCTTATTACTAACATAATCTTTGACACAGTTAATTTTTTCCATTTGCTGCCTAGATAACTAAATAATATTGCCAAATTACTTAATTATGAGGCTATAATGAGTGGTACGCGCTTTATCAAGTGAACAATATGCCATAACGTCATCTATGCATATTGACATTCGCTCGAATTCAGTCAATAAACGCATCGCTCATTGCACCGAGAGGTATAGTGGACATAGTAGTATGTTACATATTTTCGACAAAACGCAAAGGAGAATAAAGATTTCCGCCATCAAAAGCTATTTATAGCCCTCTCGAACGATTTTTATGAAGTGTTTTGAGAAAAATCTGTATTATTACCCAGTAGCAGAGTCTACGACGAAATCTTCAATATCCACATCGTCCACTGTAATTTTGCACTTTCTCAGTGGTGGTGCATCGTTTTTACAAATGATCAGCCTTGTTCGGCCAACAAGAAAAAGCCAGTTGTCATCGATTGGATCGTGATGCATCATCCTCACTTCTAGAAGAGAAAAATTTTTACAAAAATAACTATGAAAAATGGGATAAACTGAATGACCAAGTTATATCACTATGGACTAAAATTACGAAGAACGGTAGTGAGTTCAAAACCATCATTTAACTCAACAAATTCGTCAAAAAGACCAAAAATGGCTTTACGGTCTCCAGAATCCTCGAATTCTGGCAGGAAGAATGGAATAAACAAACATGTGCCTTATAAGAATTGGCAGATAGTGGTGATTTCAATTACATTAAGTAAAGTTTATTACCAACTGAAAAATTACGAAACTACTTTCCTAGAGGAAGTTGTAGACCAAAGAAAAACTTATGCAGTGACGTAAAGATAACATTTAGACTACCCGGACTAAACAGTTCAAATTACAACAATTTAGTAAAACTAGATCGGAAAACTCCAGGTTTCCAGTGCAATGGAGGGTCGTCTCCCTTACTTGTCGACCAGATTTAGTGGACGCCGCAACTCTCCCAGAAACTACAGCTTTTTTAACCCATTCGAATACTTGTTATTCGAATTCGTTCAACGTCGACGACATAGACAATAAGCCAATAAAAAGTTAACATTGTAATTTCGACTAAAGCCGCAGCTGAACTGGGTTCACTGCCGATTTGGGCTGTCTAGATCACTCCTGTTAACGGGTGATTGCTGATGGCACCGATCTATAGAAGTATCTGAGAGACAGGCGAAACAACGAAACCGCGTGATGTGGTGGTGAACGCGTAGGTCACCGGAATGTGTAATAGCGCGTTCGTTCCCCATCGCAGACACCTCCGGTCCGGAGTTTTACAAATATCTTAGCATCACTGTGGTTGCGTCACACATAGTACCCTGCCGTGAAAAATTGTAATAGGCAGTAAATAAAAAGTGGACACTGAAACAGACAATGTTACACAGATATTTTCCCATTCTTCAAAAACTGGAACAAAAAAACTATTACTACAACTCAGGCAGTGCTCAAATGAACGACCATGATTCCTATGACGAAATCCCCAATTTTTGAAAGAAAAATCTCACCATCAAATGGAAAACTAGCTGTAATGTCCGTCTTCACAGTTTTCCATGATTTTTTTGTGATCCTAGAACATTCCATAAATGCGTATGTCAATGGGTCCTGAAAAGAAAAACGATCCTGAAAAAAGAAACGTTGTTGTTCTGTGTCCCAGACATGGATACCATTCTCACCGCTTTTACTGCTGCCATTAAATAGCATATCAAATTTCGTTTCGAATCCATCGTTGCCGTTATCAGGCGGCGATTTCGACTTATTGTTCGTTGAAATCTCATGGAAAACTCGTCCCATTTCACCGATGACGTCATTATGAAAGAATTTCCAACAACTGTCACAAAGCTTCCGACGGTTTCTCCTTAATATTCATGAATTTCTACGGTTAAGTGAGCGAATACAGTGAAAAACATTAGAAATATGTTAAAGGCATACGTGGATCACAATGACTTCCATTTGGCTTGAAATCTTCATGACAATCGCATTCGAACACTCCACTGGTGAGATTTCGACACATCTGAGAGCAGATGGGTGCTTGACCTGCAGCTGTTTCATTTTTTAATATCCTTTAAGTGTACATCTCTGTTTAACTTATGCAAAGGATTTTCAAGCTCCTCAACAAGAACACCGAAATGTTCCTCGACTATGAAACGCATTAGATTTTTAGTTCCTATGAAATATTTTACTTATTTTTATACTTATATTCTGTTTTTTTATTATTCTTTATTATTTTCATACCGTAAATATATTTGTTACTTATTATTTTTATATTATATATATTTCTTATAGTTTATACTTACTTCACACTGGTAGATAGGAAACTAACTGAGAGAAACGCAGAGCAAGGTCATCGAGGCGTAGTATGTAAGTGCGAGCTCCCGGAAAGGGAAATCGTGGTTCGATCTGGCGCGGAGTCTAGGTTTTGGGAATATCTCAGTATCAAATGTATTCTTTCTTGATGAGCTTACACGAGGCTGATAAATATATCTATTTTCGGCTAACGTTTCGACGTCATCGTCTTCCTCAGAGCCGATGATCCGAGTCGATGGTCCACGCCTGTTATTCGTCTCGATATGGCGGTTTCGCCTTCGTGTCGGGTCAAGTCTTCCTTAGAGGGCCATCCCCTCGAACGAGGCATACTCACTTGGTGATACCCCTTTATACACAATGCTGGTGGTCGATATAACGATAATGTCCGATGATAACAACTTGTTTTTCCTCCGGACAATGCATCGTGCAGAAGTCGGTGTTATTATCAGCTAGTACGAAGCATAGTAATATTTCGAAACCGACTTTCCTTTAGCCTCGGTGTGACTAATCAAATGTATTCTTTCTTGATGAGCTTACACGATGTTGATAAATATATTTAAGCGTGGACCATCGACTCGGATCATCGGCTCTGAGGAAGACGAAGACGTCGAAACGTTAGCCGAAAATAAATATATTTATCAACCTCGTGTAAGCTCATCAAGAAAGAATACATTTGATTAGTCACGCCGAGGTTAAAGGAAAGTCGGTTTCGAAATATCTCAGTATCGTTATGGTTTATTTTGCTTATATCTACGTCCATGATATGCAAATTATGCAAAGAACCAATCAAAAAACATGCATACATGGTTTGTTAGGCGGAAAAATTTAATTTATTAAATTTGTATTTTCTTTGACAAACTTACATAAGGTTGCACGTGTTGTTGTTGTTGCACACAATGTTGTACAACCTCGTGTGAGCCTATCAAAGGAAGAATTCACATTGATCAGTCATACTGAGGTTAATGCGAAGTCGGTCTTGAAATGTTAAAATTTCCATTCCTACGAAGTTCCTCAATAAAAGGATAAATGGATAAAGCTCTCGGCATTGATCAGTCCCTGAGGGATGCGCCGTGCATTCGACTTCACCAAGAGTCGTTTGGAGGTGATTGAATGCATATCTGGTCTTTACAATGACTCGCGGTGGCCTACCGATGTATCGAGTCAGTGCTGCTATCCTCCCAGACAAGTCTGGTATCAATTTGCCGACTCCAGAGGGATAGAAGGCTTGGTGAGCCATCGGTGCGCGGATCGATCCCATGTGTGTATTATAGGGCACCTCCGACCACTACCCCACATGCGTCAGCGACGAATTTCCTCACTACCGGTCGCTAAAGTTATCGTGCTGTGAAACTGTATCTGTAGACAACTGATTAATGAATGAAGAAAATCAATGAGAAGAAAGACTAAAGAAATAAGTGGAAAAGGTAGTTTTACTTGATTTCATTTTTATGTCATCATAATTCAGAAGAATATTTAAATAGCACCCTATTATTCCTCATACTTAAATATCAGCCTACTATATACTTTATTTGGTGAGTGCTTCACTTAATAGAAGTACCCCGCAAGAGTTTCACTAGATATTTTCCCCTTCGTAACCCGAAAGGGTGTAACGAGTATTTTCATTTCTTCAAAGTGTACAATGCTCTGCAATAAAACGTGTAGCGGTGTTATCTCTATTTTTTTCTACTAAACTATATTCGCGTTTCTTCTCTTATACCGCTCTGGAAGAAAAAACAATCATGGCAAACCATCTCACTGCCACCAATGACACTTTTTACGAAAGCACCCATTTACTTTCTCTCAAGCAATCTGTGTGATCCGAAGTCATACCTACCCACAGTAGACATTCAAACACACACCCATACATTTATATATATATATATATATATGCATGCACATATACACACACGCATATGTATTATATATACATATATATATATATATATATATATATATGCGTACACACCTCGTTCCGGCCGGGTGCACTTGTCTTCGAAATCGCATCCACCATCCACGTTGGAAATCTGTTCGTTAGGACAATAACAGACCGGACCGTCCATTGTAAGACCGACACCATAGCGGCAGGTCACATTATGCCCTGTTACGAAACGAAAAATTATTGTCGTCTGTTTACATCTACATTTGAGTTTTCTTCTAATAATGCACACCCCTTGTATTAATGTCATCTTTTTTTTTTAGTTCTTTCCTCAAAAGTGGTAGAACGCCTATGCAGAATATAGGAATAATCGAGAAGCCTACATAGAATCTGACCAACCCGTCCGTAATGATTTTGGTTTTTCAATAAATAAAAGGATAAAGGATAAAGCTGTTGGCACTGATCAATCCCTAAAGGATGCGCCATGCATTGGACTTCATTAAGCATCGTTTGGAAGTGATAGAATGCATATCTGGCCTTTACAGTGACTCGCGGCAGCCTACCGATGTATCTAGTCAGTGCTGCTATCCTCCCTGACAAGTTGGTTCCAAATTGCCGACCCTGGAAGGATGGAATGTTTCGTGTGCCATGAGCGCGGGGATCGATTCCACGTGTGTCGCAGTGGCGCCTCCAACCACGGCGCCACACGCGCGTTTTCCAATAACTAGCAAAATTTCGCGACAATTTTACGAGTGTGGAATTTGAGGAGTAACAAAGCTACAGTGGAGACTTTGTCCTATTTCTTTTTTTTTTAAAAATTTTCAAAAAAAAAACACTAAAAACTAACTCCAAATTGTTAATTTTCTACTTACTGTTTACTACAATTTTTCACGGCAGGGTGTTATGTGTGACACAACCATAATGCCGCTGAGATATTTGCACTTCGGAGCACAAATGTCTGCGGTGGAGAACGAATGCACTATTACCCTTTCCGAGGGCTAACGCGTTCACTACGACACCATGCGAGTCTTTCGTTTCGCCTGTCTCTCAGCTGGTTCCATCGATCAGTGTCTCGGGACCTCAAATCACCAATCATGATGTGGTGATGAACGCGTGAGCCCTCGGAAAGGGTAATAGCACGTTCGTTCCCTAACGCAGATATCTGCTGCCCGGAATTTTGTAAATATCTCAGCACCATTGTGATTAAATCCAAATTGTTGGAATCTCTAACATAAACTCGGCAGATAAAAGCATCAGCGATATATTGGACAACGTTGCCATTTCCAGTTGGACGAAATGCCGCGTGTTCTCATTCGAAACGTGAGCCAGGACGAAAACTGGCGAAAAAAAAGATCTGTAGGTTCCGCGAAACCAAAATTGCGTCGCCGTGCCGTCGTACCGTCGTATCCATCCACAATTCACGAAGGTTTTCTAACATTCTTGCGTGTGGCTTCGACAGCTGTTTGAGAATTTTCGCCCTCATTACAAATGTCATTAAATGCTCCGATGTCGATTCACCTTGGAGTCCTGAAGTAGCAGCGCTGGGGCATTACCACATGGATCGGAGAAAGTTAGTCTTTGCCAGACTGGTCGGATACCAGTTTCCCGACCACTGATGAGTGAGGAGCTTTGTTTGGCCTGGTGCAGCATCGAACTAGCGTGCGGGTGAGTTGTGCCATCTGCGTAATGAACGAGATCATTACCACTGCGCTACTAATTCCATAGCTGAATACTGTCGTTGTAAATTACTAAAGGCAAAGAAATTTGTAATCGAAATGGGTCGAAGAATTAGTACAAGGGAGCGAATGAATGGAAGTAATGGACGGTAGGATAAAAAGAATTAGATGGTTTGAAAAAATGAGAAGAAAACTTGAGGCATTTTGGCACCGTAGCTTTTCCGCGGTTAGTTATTTCAGCAGAAAATAACCTTCAAACAGAATAAAGAAAGCTGCAACTCGTCCAGAGATCCTAATTACAACATTTTTTTTACAACAAAGCAAGCAAATGTAAAGATATGACAAAGATAAATCAATTACTTACAATCATCACACTTTTCATGTTCATCCGAATGGTCGTTACAGTCTACGATCTCATTACAGAACTGAGACAAATGGATGCATCTGGCTTCATGACGACAGGAGAAGAAATTCGGTGGACAGGTGGACTTGTGAAGACCTCAAAAGAGCATTTCATTTGCCATCGTCTTCTTAATACGGGAGAAAAAGTTGCCTACAAATCGACGGATCCTCGTCCGAGTTATCATCAACACCATTCGCACCGCAATCCTGCGTGCCATCGCAGATGTACGCTTTTGGTAAACAACGGCCTGATTGACAGTGAAACTCGTCCGAGCCACATCTCGCTGGAACTTCTTACTTAGTCATGTGGAAAGGGACAAAAATTTACAACAAAGTAAAACTACGCTAACGAACCACAGTGGAACAACTCGTCCGACCCGTCCAAGCAATCCGGTTCACCGTCACACTTCCACTTTAACGGTACGCATTGTCCGTCACATAAAAATTGACCAATACCACAATCTGCTGAAAAAGAAGAATTTGGACTAGATTGTTATTTACCAACTATACATCAAAAGCTTTCTTATAAGCTTCTATTGTGCAGGTAAAACATTCTCGCTTCATCTCTTTCATCCCATTTCTATTATTATTTTATCATCATCATTATTTTCTGATTATTATAATTATTTATTAGCCATTAGCCGGGGAGCAAACCAAGAACAGAAGTATAATAGCTTGAAAAACGGGCATGCTAGGAAAGAGGCGTGACAAGGATCTCCTACTACTTTGATGGATGACAACCAGTAACCGTTTCTTTTACGTATTTCTTCTGAATAAAAACTCTTTTTTTAAACCAAGTATCAGACTGGTGAAAGGGCGACATTCGCATAGGGAACTGTCAACCAGATTGATGAGGTATAAGAGAAGAGAAAATCGTTAACAGTAACCGATCGCGCATCTGGATCTGCTGAGCTGTTTTCCCATGGCCTCTCAATTACGATTTAATCATCTTCGTTATTAGATAGCTTTTTTCACTACGTCGCATCACACAACGAATTCAACGGAATGCATCGTGCAACGAAATGAACAAACGCCTCCACGTTAACAAACTTATCAAGTGGTAATGAAGAAACAGGAATATGAAGAAAGAAATATTTAAATATGTTAATTATTCTTAGGTGAATAACAATTAGAAGCGGTAGCTACTGAAAAAGTTCCATAAGGGAAAAAAGAGCGTCCCCTAAAAATGTAGAACTACCTTCATTTGTATTCGATTGATCCGATGCAAAGACATTGAAGTTGTTTAGAAGCACTACGAAGAGAAACCAGAAAAGCAACGTATCTACGGAAGGCATAACCGGTTACCACATTTAGCTCTTGGTAGAAACTGTAACCGAAACTTTAAATAAAAAAATAGTTACGTTACAAAAACGTTACAGAAAGCATTTAATTGCATAAGTTCACCTAGAACACTGTGCAGACTATCTAGATACATGAAAGACAAAGTATTAAGCTCTCAGCATCTATCAATCCCTTAAGAATGCATAATGCATTCGACTTCATTAAGCATTGTTTAGAGGTAATTGAATGGATATCTGGCCTTTACAAGGACTCGCGGTTGCTACCCATGTATCGAGTCAGTGCTGCTGTGCTCCCAGACAAATCTGGTACCAATTTGTCGACCCCAGAGGGATGGAAGGCTTGGTGGACCATGGGCGCGGGGGTCGATTCCACGTGCGTGTTGCAGGGCGCCTCCCACAACTGCGCTACATACGCCCTACCTAGGTACATAGATAAATAAACAAAACACATAGAGCAATACATAAATAAAACATTTCTTCGATTTAATGAAACGAAAGAAAACGGAATGACGATTAAATTAGATAAGAGCGCAAATTGAAAAATATGGACACAAATTTTCTATCCTATAGAAGGAGTTATTTATCCCCTAATGTTTATTGCTCTTATCGCCTTTGAGGTGCATCAAGGGGTCAGACAGTGATGTAAAGCGTAAGAGGTTTCACCTTTCAGCAGAGTCGCCCAGAATGAGAAAAATATCCATGTGGAAGCAAAGCTAAGCGCAAGTAAGTGTACACCACAGTGAATTCTGGAGAATAATTTATCTACAGCTATGTTCCAGCAAGACATGTAAAAATAAAGTGAAACTCGTTAGAAGAAGCCATCAAACCAAAGGCCATCATGCCATCATATGCGTTTCGTATCCCTTGAAAGAACAGAGTCCAATGAGCAGTTATGATGTGCCACATTAACACATGGAGTTTACTGCCACTCATTTGAGTTAGACGTAGTTTAAGAAGGGTATATGTGATATATGTAACAGAGCTAATAAAAAATTGATCGGACACCTTAAAATCTGCAGAAACGTAGCGCAAAGCAATAGAACAGGCGAGGAACAAGAACACAAGAACAAGAACAAGAACAAGAAACAGGTAGAACACAGGCGCGAAAAACTCTCGAGGCACTCTGGATTAATTCCAGAAATCCGAAAATGAACCGCAGGGAAGAATGCCTCATTATCACGCGTGATATAGGGCAGTATATAAAACTGCTTTTCTGATGTGAGGGGCACATTATACTTCCACGTGATTTCTGTGCGGTTGGTCTCTACGTGACATACTTAGTGGAAACCTCATAGAAAGCGGTGAGTGTGCAGAGCTGTGTTCAAAGTGATTAAAATCTTGGTTTGGAGTTTCTTTGTTTGGTTATGGAGGCGTCTGGCCGAGTGGATTGCTATCAACTTGACCTTTCCAGGCTCTGAAGAAGGCGAAATCCGCCGAAACGTCAGCTTAATCGTGAACAAAGAATAGTAACACCTCGCGTTTGCTCAACAAAAATACGAAGAAAATCACTTGATCAATGCCGAGGTTAATAGAAAGTCGGTCGTGGCAGCAAAGCAATAGGTAGCCACAGTGGACTACATGTTCTGACAGATGTTTGTGGTCCATCCAATCTGAGTCAACCCTTCCATAAATGCTGCGTGGACGCAAACGCTTACAAGAGGAAAGTACTAACGCTCGTTAGCTGCTTTCGTAAGTAAACATGGAAGCCGAGTGCCCCACATTCATAACTCGAAGAAACTTACGAACTTACGAAGCCTACGAACGTGACGCATCACAATAAGATTAATCAACGCCGAGAATCTCAACTTTTTTCCCATATGATAACTGAGAAACAAAAAATATTCAACACAATAATCCTATAACAAAATTCTTAGAATATTAGTGTCAACAACGATTACGACTGTAATTTGTAGATAAAACCTAGCCATTCATCAGCCTCTTCTTCTATTTTGTAACACGTTTCTGCTAAATGGGAAGCAAGAAAATTTCATATTAGAGCCAAGACAGCTACCCATTCTTTCTTTCGTTCTTGGTGTTGAAAATATAAAAATAAAGGACACGTGCACCAAAAGCCGATGCGCTTCATGTCCACCGATCGAGTAGACTCCATAGAGGTATTGAGATGCGCAATCAAAATGATTGAGGACTTACTGGTACCATCTCGAGTCACTCGATCAATAACTTTATTACTTATGGTTCTGGTGACACAAGTGTTACGAAAACTTGAGAAAGCGATCATATTCGTGCCTCCCCCCACCTCCGAGACAAACATGGATTTTGGGAATCGACTTCCTGTCTGTGTTCTGCGTCAGATTGGCTTACTTATACTTCCTTATGTATGCTGTCACCATATTCATGCGTACATGAGTGAACGTGTTTATTTGCATGCGGATTATATCCTTAGACGCCGATTCAACGAGAAGCTTGCAATCAAATGACTCGGAAGTAAATGGGAGGCGGTTCGTGATAGGATTTTCAGCAAAAACACCCCATGCCTAGTAAGCCAATGCTTAACGAGCCACGCTTGGGCGTTCCACTTTCAAAAACAATAACGACAAGACGAATCTCATGAAAAATGTCGCTTCATGTCCTTTAAGCAAACAAAACCCATCGGACATGCAACATGGACGAATAGCGACTTCACCGTTTCAAATCAAGAGAAAAAATATGAAAGATTCCTTCTCCTGATCAATCTCCTGATCGACTTTCTAGTAAATTTCGCAAATCATCAAAGGATATTCTGCTAGAAATTTCTGGACACTCGTTAGTCGGAAGAAATGGGATAAAAGAAGCAAAAGTAGCACATAAAAGAATTATATAAATGATGGACCGTTTTTTCGGCGAGCAAACACCAGGTTAAAAAACCGAAATCAGAAACGAAAGTAAGAAAGAAAAAGTATCCAAGTAAAAAAAAAAGACCAGTTTAACAGCAAGATCTATTCAATACACTGACTGGCCGACGTTTCGGAGGTTTCGCCTTCTTCAGAGCCTGGAAGAGTCAAATTGACGCTCAGTCAACCCAGTCAAACACTATCATAACCACAGCAGACAAAACTGAATCCAATGATTATTCGTATAGTGACAGCTTCTATTAAACACCCCGCCGTTTCGGTTTTCTTAAGTCCTCTAGCTATTATGGAAGTTCGACCGTACAGCGTCCTATTTACATTGGTGAGAAATGTGCGTGGTTCAGACCAAGAAGTCGATCTAGTATATGGCGGGAACACACGTGATCACAAGGCACTCCTACTTGCCGTTCATTTTGGAATTCTGGAGTTTGTACTTATGCTTTACAAAGGAGTATAAACTTCAAAAACCCAGAAATGAACCGAAAGGAGTGTCTTGCGATCACGTGTGGTCTTGTGCCATATACTAGATCGACTTCTTGGTCTGAACCACGCACATTTCTCACTCATGTGAGACTCTGTGCAGTCGTTCCCGGGTTTTTTTATTTAACTGGTATCGCATTGATAATCAATAGAAAGGTAAGGGACACCCACACCCATCCACAAATCTTCCCGCAACGGGATGGAGGACTCAATCTGGCGATGCTGCATGGCGATCAGAAATGTGTTGCTAAGACAACACGCATTAAAAGGAATTATGAGGCCCATCAAGATCTATTGCTGACAAACGCCTCTAAAGTGGGGATCCCACCCACACGCAAACAAACCCTCCTATATGGGAATGAGATAGTGAAACAGCGGCAAATTCAGCTGAAATGTGGAGAATAACATTGCGGCGCAGCGACAAGAGACCCAGAGCTTCGAAGTGATGCTTTACTGACAATCGCCTCTAAAGTGGGTGACCGAGATCAAAGAAAAACCCTTCCACTTGGAAGCATGAGGTAGAGAAACGGGTGAATCCGGCTGAGCTGTAGAGAACATCATTATGACGTTGAGATAAGACGTACTGGACGTAGTTAGCTATCAGACGAAATTTAATGTGATCCAATGTTGAGAGTCGCTTCTAAAATGTGGAACCTGGATCTAAACGATCCCTCCCCTACGAGAGCGCGTTATGGAAGCCGACTCGAATTCGACTGACTTCTAATCAGTGGAATTATGGCGTTGGGACAAATGCTACTCAACGTAATTATGAACCTCATCGTCGTTAATCAACGTCATCACGTGGTCTCTGAACAACACAGTCAATGAGGCGCGGAAACGTTGTTAGCCGAAGAA